GACCCATTGCAGCCCGCTAGGGACACTTCGGGAGACCACGACCATGGATTCCCTTGGGGTAGAAGTGGGAATTCAGCACCTTGGTGCCCCCCGGGCCCTTGAAGCCTGGTAGGCATGTGGTGGGAAGGCATCCATGGTGGTGCCGCCTGCCCACATCTTGGCACGACGGCCTGCACTCCTTCCATGAGCCCATCCTGCTTCACTGTGCGCATCCAAGGGTCCTCTCCAATTGGAATCTTTTTTTGAAAGGCTTGAGATCATGGCTTCCTATCCTGATATGCTGAGAAATGCCGTGTAAGTAAAACTACAGGGTTCTCTTACAGAAATCAGTGGTGATGAGATTTCCAAGGAGGAGAGTCGTGTGCGTACAACACACGGTTCCTCCAGATGGGATTTTCCTAACGACAGTGCCAGCATGAGTCTGTGGCCAAAGAGTAAACATTAGTCAATCCCATTAAATGCTGAAAATTATACCATTAACCGACTTTGATAAGGAGCTGAATGTGAAATCAGGCTGTAGATTTCAAGAAGGAGATGCTTGTAGGAACATAATGAAGCAGTAATGGCCAGAAATGTCGTCTGGTTGATCAGTTGCCCTCGGCGCCTGGTGGCCTCTCCCAGTGCAGGCCCTCCCGGCTCCCGCATCTGTGCCGAGGCAGCACCATGGTCCTGGGCTCCTGGATGAGCAGCTGGCCTGCCACGGGACCCACCATGCTGGCGCTCCCTCCCGTCACTGCCACCAAAGCACGTGGAGACACAGGGGTTTCTGGCCAGGGCAAATTCCTTGAGCACACACAGAATTCAAGGGGATTCACCCAGTGGTAAATAGACTCCACCACCCCCCACATTAGGAGTGATGCCAGTTTTTAAAATGGTTTTCCCAAGTTCTCTGTCAAAAGTGACCCAAGTCCTGGACCCCTTGTATTGACTGGCTTTAACGTCCACCTGCGGCTTTCCCATGGGGCCATTTTGGACGAGCCTTGCTCTCCGTTCATACCAGGGGCAGCTAGAACACCCACACAGACAGTCTTTGCTTCCCAGGGGGTGTCCACGGTGACAAAGTCTTGGTCCCATACACAACTCGCCCACACACTAAAAAAACCGACACGCGTAAAGGTGGGAAGAGAGCACGAAGGTCAGGCTTGCATGTTTCCTCTCTCTTTCCGGGGCTTGGGGGAAGTGTTTGTCTGCACTTGCATTTCCCAGACATGGGGTGTCAGCCCTGCTTTGGCTCCGGTTCCTGCGCTTGCTAAGATGGTTTCTAAGGAGATGAGCACAGGCGTGCTTTCTGGACTGTCCTGGTGTTCCAGATGAATTTAGCAGGAAGGCTTCAAGTTCAGCCATGCTACCCCAGTGGAGATCTAGGGAGTAGGAAACCACCTGAGATGGTGATAATCTTTATTTCTTTATAAAGTCAAAGTCAGTGGTCAGAAATACGGGGTATAAATACCGGGTCAGGCAGTGATGTGGGGCCTGCAGCCTCACCCCTGCTGATACGCTGACTCGGCTGCAGTGGGAAGCCTCCTCCCCCTCCCCTGCCGGAGGATAGAGCTAGTGGTTGAAATACAGGTTAGTTGGCAATGCAGAATCCAGTGGCTTCGTGAGGGAGAGTCTCTTTCCACGTAGCCTGAGTGTGAGCTGCCGGGACCCGGGCTTCCGGCTGCCCTGCAGTGGCAACCCGTGGGCAGAGCTCGTTTCTGCTGTCGCCTGGTGGCTGTTTCTCATGCACCTCAGCCAGGGAGGCGGGGAACGCCCCGGGTGGCAGGTGTCTGGCTCACACTCCTGTCCATACAGGAAGTGAGGGAACAGGCGGTGGGATCAGGTGCAGAGGTGGGAGAACATGAGGCTCAGACACCAAGAAGGTCATGCTCAGCTGTGCTCAGGTTCTGCCGAGGCGACTGGGTGCTCGCTGCTTGCGTGGGCTTACAGCAGAGCTGGTTTGGTGACAAAACACATGAAAACAGTGCCCCTTGCTCCTTCTCCCCCTCCTTGTAAATAGGCCAGAGCTGTGCGTTCCCAGGGAGCCCACAGCCAAGGCTGTTGGAGAGAGCGCCTGCAATAAATAACGTGCCGTCCAGTTATATAGTCCTTGGATGGTGATGGAGAAGTTGAATTTTGAGCAGGGGAAAGAAGGGAACAAAGCCAAGCAGAAATTGAGGTTAAGACACAACGTAATCTACATTTGCACTTTACTTCAGGCGGGGCGCTAATGATGAAGCGCTCGGCGTGGGCTCCTGTTGAATTTTTGATGTGAAGCCATCAGGGACTCGTTCTCCTTCACTTTCGATTTCTGCAGGTCCCGAAACCTCGCCTCTCTCCACAGTAATAACCTGTGCTTTCCGTTCCCGTCGAGGGCGCCTCTCCCGCTGAGCGATGGCTGCAGATGGAGGCCGCGCAATCTTGGAAGGCTCTTCTGCCAGCCCACTCCTTGGGCGGCTGCCATCAGAGGCCCGTTTCCTGAAAACCCGAGCTCTTGCCTGCACGGCACGTTTTCCGGGCAGTGACTCATGGAGCAGCCCACAGCGCAGGGAACCACTGCTCCACACCACCGGGATCGGATCAGCCGGTCAGGCTGTCGCCACTCCCCCCCCCCCCCCCACGATGTGCCGGTGCAGCCGCTTCGTGGGCAGTGGGAAGTGTGAACGCAGACACCCTCCCGGGTTGGCGCTTGCCGGGGCGCCAGAGCGCACGGAGCCCGGCAGCCCACCGCCACGGCCTCAGGCTTCCCAGGATTCACGTTCCCACTCTCCCTGAGTGAGAACCCGAATTAAGACTCCACATTCATTTCGATCTTACCCTAGAAAATGCAGCCGGCTTTAGCCAACTGAAAGGACGCTGGCAGAGAGCGCCACTGTGCTGCTGGGCTTTCGTGGGAGCTCAGGTCCCCTGAGTGGACCTTTCCCCTCGTAAGCACCAACAGCCAGAGGCCTGGAGAGGGTCACCGGCCTGCTGCAGCTCCACGCGCACCGGTCATCACGTTTGACCGTCCGGCTTCCGTAGGTCTTCGATGTTCTCCCGAGTGCTGCCATTTTCAGCACCGTGGGCCAAGTCCCTTTTCTCTCTCACTCACACAGCTGTGTCCCTCTCTCCATGGCCCTGAGCAGCTTCTCTGCCTCGCTCTCAGCTCCGGGGCTCCCTGCCATGTTCGCAGCCCCCAGAGTCCCTGTCACAAATGAAACATCCTGGGTGCTTGAGGACTCACTTCCGGGAGCTGTCAGGCTGGCCAGTGCTGACGCAGAGCACACTCTCGGAAGGACTGTCACCACCCCCCCACCCCTCCCCACCCCGGCCCTGATGGGGCTCCACGGGGCTTTCACTCTCTGGAGGGAGGGAGCCGGCATCAGGAGACCTCCTGGTGGCCTCTCCCAGTGCAGCCTGGTTCCCCCAATACTCTGTCCCTAACACCCAGCCAGGACCATGGACAGCTGCCGGGGGTGGGGCCCTTTTCGGGGTAGGATTCTTCCTGCCTCGTGATCTTGGTGAGCTGGGGCTGAGAGAGGGCAGGGCGCTGCCTATCTAGGCATGGTTCCCAGGCACGCCCATAGCGCTGTAGCTGACTGCTGGGGCCCAGAGCCAGGCTTCGCAGCCAGCGCCCTGGACACCCCCCTGCGCCCACTTCACACTTCCCTGCCCCCAGCTTGTACACACTTTCTTCCAACTCCTGAAGTTCAAAGTTTTTATTTGATTAAAGTCAAGGAATTTTTATAGGGTTTAATTGCAGTAATTGACTCTGCTTCTGTCTAACAAAGAGCAGATATCTCCCTCAGCGCTGCTGAAGAACCATTTCGCCTGCAGCCTGGGCACTTATGGAGCATATGGGAACTATTTATTGCCTGTTCTTTGAGGCACTTTTGATTACGCGCTGATTGCCTCTTAATTAGATTGGTGGGGGAAGGGCGTGCTTGTTCAGAGGGGCCGGTCGGGAAAACTGGAATATATTCCATGTATTTCAGTAATGACAGAGAGCCCTCTAGGCTTTTGTTTGTCTTACACATTTCCTGTGTTTCTGGTTGTTTACATTTTTCATTCCCAGTGTGGTCGTCTCTGGGGATGTGGAGAAACGGGGCCGCCAGTCTCATAAACAGTAGGTGGAATCCCACCTCTCCGGAACTTCCCTGGGAGGAGAGGCGGCCGTGCTGAAAACCAGATCTGCGTGCTGATCCCCACTTTGTCTCCATGAGGAAGGGAAGGGGCAGAGCAGGGGCGAAGGAACCCCTGTGTCCCCAGTGTCCATGCTTCCATCCGTGGCTGTAGAGAGAGGGAGGTGATCATCTGCATCAGTTTAGAACTAACACTGAACGCTATGAGCATCCCTTGTTGATCGGGGCCCCACCAGGGCGCCTGCTACCCCAGGTCTCCCAAGAACCCGGGGAGCTGGAGCCACATGCGCCGGAGCCAGGCCAGCAGGTGCTCTCGCCATGTTGTACGTGTTTTGAGCCAGGTCCCGATGCCTTGAGAAACCGGTGGAGAGGTGGCCAGGGTCACACATGGGAGAGACTTGCTATCCCCTCAAATAAGCACTGCCAGCCTCGTCCCCGAGAGGCTCCCGTGGGCACAGGTCCAGGCCCTGCACTGGGCAGGGTGGTGGTGCAGGGCCAGTCCTGACTCTGGGGCGGAGGGACGCTCAGGACGGGGGGTCCACTGACGGACCCACCTCCTTCTGGCACCACACTGGCCGTTGCTGATGAAGCAGCATGGGGTATTTGTGCCCCTGTCACTGTCCAGCCACCGCGGGGCCACGGCTGCTCTGTGGGTGTGGGCAGCCTGTTGCCATCAAGTGCGGGGCTGAAGCTACAGTGAAAGTGAGGCGAGTCCCTTTAGTTTTCCCAAGCTCTTCTCATGTAAATTTGAAGAGAACCAATGTTAAATAAACAAATGGCTCTAGTGGGCTTCCAGATGTCTTCCTGCTTCTCCTGAGGACCCGCGGCCATGGCTCCGCCCAGACGCAACCAGGGCCTCTCCCGGAGAAGCGGTCAGTAAGGCCTCTGTTCTCTCCGCAGGCAAGCCTGGGACCTTGCCGTCGACATTTGCCTCTCTCAGCTGCCAACCATCATCGAGGAAGGCACCGCATTTCGGGTGAGTCCCGAGAAGGGCATCCGCGTGGTCCACCAGGGGGGCTCTGTCCCTGGGCCCCTGGTCTGCAGAGCCCCTAGGGCTCTGGGTCGTCAGATTTTCTTCGCCCGCCTGGGAAAAGGTGCCGTTAGTGGAAGTTTGAAAGATTACATCAGCCAGGGGTTCGAGATTTTGAAATGGTGAGCTCAGGAAATGTTCTCTCTTAAAAGTGATGTTCTTGTCAATCTGCTTTTCTTAACGCACGCTCCCTGACCCCGTGTTCCAGGCTCTGCCTTTTAACTGGAATGGATTATGGGTTTCCCAAAACTCCTGACTAGAACCTGAGGGTGTAAAGCTCAGCACTGAGGGAACATCTGGTCCCCAGGCCTCTCAGGGGACTGACTCACCAGGGGTCGCACAGCCCCTCACTCAGAGTCACCCTTGCTTCATCTGCTTCCCGGCCTCTGTGTTTTCATTCAGGATTCATGTATCGAGTCGGAGTGCATGGGCACCAGACCCAGCCCCTCCCTCAAGGGCCCTGAGGAAGGAGGAGGGTCACTCACGTCTGCGCACATGCACCTTCTGACCCCAAGGGTCAGGGAGGCTTCCAGGTCTGGGAGGTCCAGGGCAGCAGAGCAAAGTGAGTGGCTCTAGGCCATGGAGGGTGGGGCTGGAGGGTCAGAGCCACTGGCTTTCTCTACCCACACCTTCATCTCTGACCCCACTCAAGACTACAGGGGCAGGCTCGCTCCCCAGTGCCTCAGTTTCCTCGTTTTACAGGGGAATCAGGGTGGTTTGCAATTAAAGGGGCATAGGAGGACTAAAGGAGTTCATACAGGCTGAGTGCTCAGGTCAGGCATGGGGTGTGGAGGGTACACGTATGTGTATGTGTGTATCTCTGTGGGATGTCTGTGTACATGTGTGCATATCTGTGTGGTGTGTGTGTGTACGTGTAACTCCTCAGATGATCTTGACGTCCCTGGTGGGGGTGATGAGCTAAGAGGCCTCCCTCTCTTATCTCCTATTTCCTTCTTCTTTATTACTTGACATTTTTCACATTTTATTTTGAAAACTTCCAAACCTACAGCACTGTTGAGAGGATTGTACAGTGAGCGCCTGTATGCCCACCACTTAGTCCTGCCGTCAACATTTGCCACACTTGCTGGAGCATATCCATCCCTCTCTCCAGCTGCCCTTTTTTTTTTTTTTTTTTAAACACACTCACAAGTTACGTTGCAGACTGCCTTGCATTTTTAAACCCTGAAGAGGAAGCTGGCAGAGCCTTCACTCGGCTCTCACCAGTGTGCTTGGCATCAGCCGGGGGTCCCCTTCCCGTTGGACCTAAGCTCTGAGGCAGGGACCGGGCTTGAGCACAGTCACAGGGGTCCGTGGGGACAGCCCTGGCCTCCCCTCCACCACAGTGGGGTAGCCCTCCCCGGTGCCTCAGCTCGCCAAAGGAGGCCAGGGCCTGTCGCCATAGCATGTGTTTGGAAAACCTAACATGATTTTGGCTTTTTGTACGGTGTAATGTTTTACTTTGTACCCTTAGAGAATCAGAACTATATAGTCGCATGTAAAATAACACAGTCTCTGTATTATTATCCTTCCGCTCCAGTGCCAGGTATGTTTCCAAGGATCTCAGTGCTTCATTTCTAATCTGCTGGAATCAGTATTCTACATGTGGGAATCATTTCCCCCAAATTGTGACAGGGAGGGGTAACTGATGTAGACCACATGCTAGCTTTTTTATTTTGCTTTCACTTTTTTGGGAGCAGAATGTACATAGAGAAAATTGCACGCCGTAAACGTGTGGCTTGAGGAGTTTTTATAATATGAACACACTCAAGTAACTAGCACCCAAATCAAGCGGCTACATGTTAGAAGCTCCCAGAAGGCCCTTCCTGCCACCTTCTACCGGCTTTCCCCTCGGGTAACTACTTTCTTGCCTGGTTTTGTGCACTTGGGTAAATAGAATCCTACAGGATGTATGTAGCCTTTGCATCTGACTGCCTTCGTTCAACACGACGTCTGCTTCCGTGGTTGCAGCTCTCGTCACAGCGTAGGGTTCTCCAGGGGCCATGTACCCCTCCTCTGGCCAGTGGGCATTTTGAGTTTCCAGGTTGCAGCCCCCACAAATAATGCTGGCCAGTGCCAGGCCGAGTCATTAGAGCCTGAGGGAAAGGAGAAATCAGTAATTCTGAGGCTGTCTTTACTTGAAATTTTGATATTTTGTTCATTATGGATTTTCGCATTTTTTTAAATATTGCATTAAAGTATTTTTTAATCTCAATTACTGAGCTTTTTGTTGTGCCTTTAAATCTTGTTCCTAAGGCGAATGCTTCTCTTACTGCAAGCTGGTCCCAGCCCACCCTGGGTGCTGCTAATTTCTTACTTGCCTTTGGTGCATTTATGTCAGGGATACACATTGGGAGTGAAATTTCTGGTCGCCAGCATTCATATGGCCAGTTTTAGTAGATGCTGCCAGGCAGTTTTCCAAAGTGACCGCATCAGTTTACAGTCCTACCCACACCTTGTGAGTGTTTCCGTTGCCCTGTATCCTCATAAATGCTTGATACTTTCTACCCCTTTTTCCCCTTATTTGGCTATTCTGGTTCAGTGTGAGAGGTGTTTCACCGAAATTTTATCTTGTATCTCCCTGATGGTCAATAGTGTTGAGCATTGTTCTGTATTTTCGTTGGCCATTTGAATATCCTCTTTTGTAAACTGCCTGATTGAGTCTTTTGATTGTTCTTTTGTGTGTTTCCTATGGATTTGTAGTGATCGTTTATATCTTCTGAATACAAATCCTTTGTCACTCATTGCGAATATCTTTTTTTCTCTCTCTCTCTCTCTTTTGCTCTGGACTTTATTTTCATTTTTTCAGTATTTTTTTTTCTTGAACAGAAGTTTCTTGTTTTAACATAATCCAATTTGCCAATTTTTTTCTCATGCTTAAGACTTTTGGTATCCTGCTTAAGAAATGTTTACTTTGAGATGCACACCCCTGAGAAGGTGTTCTCTTTTTCTTCTGAAAGCTCGATTGTTTTACTTTTACCCTTAGAACTGCAGTCTGTCTGGGATTAATTATATGGATGGTGTGAAGTAGGGCTCGCGATACGCTTTTCCACACATGGATGTTCAGTTCGCCCAGTGCTATTTACAGCGAATCAGGCGACCATCTTTGTGGGGCTGCTTCTGGGTTCTCTGCTCTGCCCCGTTGGTCACTTTGTCCTTGCATGGGTACTGAGCACGCTTGATTATGAAAGCAATTTTGACAGAGATTACACGGATCCATAGATGGATTTGGGGGCGTCTCTACAATGTTGAGTCTTCCCATCCGTCAACATGACTATAAATAGTATATTCCTAAATGCCATTTACTGTTTTTCTTTGTGTACATAGGGCTTATAGGTGATTTTGTGCAGCAGCTTTATTAAATTCACTACTTTGTTCTAATAATTTTCCTATAAATTACTGGCTTCATCTTAAAACCTTATTGTTAGATACCCTAAAGCAAAGCCCAGCATGTATGTCACTCTTCCAAGGTCAGTAGTTGGGAAGACAGATTTTAGTCAACAATGGAAAGGAGCCCGATGAGAATCAGCATTTGCTGACATAGGGGAGGGGAGGAGCATTTGCACATGGTGGGAAGCATGGATAATGGACTTTCTTGAGGGGCTTAAAGAGAGCCCTCTGCAGGCTGAGTTCTGACACAGGGCTGGAATCCAAATGCTCCTGGCCACTGCGGTTTTATCTCCTCTTCTAAGTGGTGAGGTCATCATGAGGAGCGAGTATGTCACCGTACAGTCAGGATGGCACCAGCCAGTGTCAGTGTGTCTGGACCAGGGACGCCAAGGGGGATGAGGAGGAAGGGTGTTGAGATTAACCGTTTCCTCTCTCTCAACAATGACAGCAAAAGGCTTTCTGGGTTCCCCAGTGGTCAAGTGTGGCTCTTTGTGCCCATCTGGCCCCCCGCTTTTTGTCCTTTCCCCTTGCACCTGTTTTCAGGCCCGGGCCATCTGACCCGTGGGCTGACCGTGGAGTGGCCCACCTGGCCTCAGAATTGTCCTGGGAGGCCCTGGACACATGGCCCCATGACTCAGAGCCTCCATCCAGGCCTGCATGAGCTGTCCTCTGGACGCCCCTCCTGGTCTCCGGTCTCCCCACAATCTGCACAGCAGCATTGACATGATGGAGGTAATCTTGGAGGTCTGGCCCAGGCCCCAGCTCTTAGTCATCGTCAGACGCACGTGGGGCAGCTCTCAGGGTGTTCCCTGGAGCGTCCTTTGGGACGCTGAGCCCCACCTGTGTTGGGGGGCTTCCCCACAATGAGGAGCACACCAAACCTCACTGCGTGTTCCGATGGCAGGCGCTTTCCCTTTGGACAGTTTTGGGTGAAGAGATGAGGAATGCTTGTCCTTCTTGCTGTGCGGAACGGTTTTTTCAGCAGTGAGCTACATGCGAACATCCGTAATTCAAAAACTAACTTGGAAGGAAGGGAAAAGAGCTGGAATGATGTGAATTACCTGAGCTCCCCTCCTCCCTCCCTGTGGGGAGGGAGAGCTTAACGGGGCTGCTGTTTTTAATCAATTGATGAATAATTCACACTTAAAAACAGGAAAGCCGGTTTGGGGGCTCCATCCCAATTCACAGGTTGCCCTCCAGATTTGGTTCACGTGATGCAAGCTGACTTTGCAGGAACATGGATTCCTGGGTGGTGCGTGTCCTCCGCTGGCTTCTCACGTGACAGACTTTTCTAAGGGAGCACTGTGGCTCTGACCACCAGGCTCCTCCGTGGACGGCGTGGAGTGAGCAGGCCTGGGTCTGCCCACGGCTTAGAGTCGTGTAAACACACATGTCCACACAGGTCCACATGTACCAGAACCCCAGGCCACAGCCACATTCCCACCTTCCCGCCCCCCTTCCTTACTCACAGACACACCTCTGAAACAGCCTCACCTTCCCCCGTGGGACAGGGAGGATAGGGATGGGAGGCAGAGATTTATAACTTGGGATTCTTCTTGTTTGGGGCTCAGGGACAGCAGAACTGTGTGTTAGGTGAAAGTGATTTTGTCAGAGTGAAAAACCCAGCCATCCTGCCGCTGCCCGGCTTCTCGGTTCCCAGACCTTCCCTCAGCCTGAGCCATTCCTGTGCTTTACCCGGTCCCTGTCACTGCGGGTAAAGGCGTCCCCCCCCCGCTGGGCCAGTAAGGACAGACCACCTCCATGCCCCCACTGCTGGCTGTCCAGCTTGTCCCTGCACCCCCATCACTCTGACTCTGACCCCAGTGCATTGTCCAGCAGCCCTGCCGCCTGCTGGCCCCTCCCTCCACTGACCTCAGGGCTCCTGCGTACATCGCAACTCTGGGTGACTCGGTGCCCGTTCCCTCCGCCTGTGCCCACATACAGGCAGGACTCAGAACCCCTGTGTCCCCACTGAGGTCACCACACACAGTTCCTTCCCATGCCACTCTGCTCGACCGTGTCCTCCCCTCCTGACTCACTGAGAAATAGAAGTGATGGAGAGACCCCTGCGAGCCCTGCCATGTGTGCCCACGTCCCTGCATCCAGGCCCGTCTGCCTCCCCGTCTCCCGCCCGCAGAGAGCCCTCCCCAGCTCGTGGTGGAGCAGCCGCCCTGCCCGCCCCCACTGCTTCACCCACGTACAGACGCGCCTCACCCTCCCACCGTTAAACCGGAGTTCCTGACCAGGTGGCCCCTGTCCCCTCCAGCCCACTCCATTTCTGTCCTTCCCCCTCACAGAACCGTCTACACTGGACTCTCCAGATTATCTTCCCTTCCCAGTGCACTCCACTGTGCCCGAGGCTGCACCTCCACACTGCTCAGCCAGTCACCGCAGAACCAGGCAGAACCAGGCTCTGTCCGCCTGCCCGCCACCCCATGTTCCTTCCGCACTTAACCGCCCTTGGCATCTGGGCTCAGCCTGGGCCCCCTGCTTCTCCTCGCTTCTCTCAGAATTTGCGCCTCCCGTGCAGACCTCTCTCCTGCCCTGTGAGCTCAGCCCCGTGCCCACAGGGTGTCCAGTAGGCATCTTGAACTCAACATGCCCAGGGCAGAATTCCCCACATTCTCCCCCAAACACTCTTCTCTCAGCTCCTTTCGCACCTCAGCCCAGGGACCCCCTTCCTGGGGCTCTGGCCAAGAGTTATCTGGGATCTCAACAGTGTCGTCCTGCCCCTGTGTGGTCTGCTCACACACGCCCCCTGCTCTGCCCTTGTCACCCTCGCCAGCTCCCCTGCTGCGGTCCTGCCCTGACCTCCCTCGCCTGGACCGTTGCGGACTTGGGCAGGCGCAGGGGCTGCGTTGATGGGGCGGGTGGGTGCGTCAGGACAGAGCTGATAAGGAACGGGGGTCCCTAACTAATGCTCCCCGCCTGTCCCACAGCACAGCCCCTTCTTTGCTGAGCAGCTGACTGCATTCCAGGTGTGGCTCACAATGGGCGTGGAGAACAGGAACCCACCCGAGCAACTTCCCATTGTTCTGCAGGTGAGTTTCTTCAGATCCGCCGATTGGCTGAGCGCGTTGCAGGGAAGGAACCAGAGCCAGGGATGTGTGTGCGGGTGTGCGGATATGTGTGCGTGGCTGTGTTCTCAGCCAGGTGGCTCTCGGGGACATCAGTCAGATCCCTCAGAGGTCACTGAGTCCCACCGCAGACTTATTCTGGGGAGGGCTTTCCTGGGGATGTCAGAGTTCCCGTCCCCATTCTCATTTAAATACTAATTTGGGTTGTAGTCAGCAGCCCTTTCCGGGGGATCCACAGAAGTCTGCAGCGAATGTGCTCAGTGGCATCAGGCCCTTCTGTTTGGAAGAACATGAGCTGCCAGTCCGCCCAGGAGGAAAGGGCAGGAGCTGTGAGCACGTCACAGACGGCCCTCGTGCCTCCTCGCCAGGTGCCCGTGGACTGCGGGTCATTGACTGGGTGGCGGGCAGCCTGGACCCAAAGCCCTGCCCTCCCTTCCATGGAGGGCGTGTGCCAGACCCTCCGGTGGCCTGTGTCAATGCTCACACAAAGACTGTGCCCCCCTAGTGGTTGGAAGCTCAATGTTGTGGGTCTCGTTCTGCTAATTTATTTGGCTAGCGGTTCAGATGGGGGAGAATGGCAGAATACCAGAGTGCCTCACAGGTGGGAAGATGAGGAAGTTTTCACAGAACTTTTGTGTCGGTGAAGGTGTATTTGTGGAAAAGGCGTGGTCGACTGCCTCGGAGTCTGCTGCTCAGCAGGCCCTGAAGACCATTTGCAGGCCCCAGAACCAGAGGTTTCACCTGGTTCAGGCCTGTGTGCCGGGACCCTCAGACGGCAGAGGGGGCCGGGGAGGACGGGTGCTGGAAATGTGGTCGACGTGCTGCAGAGACAATTGGGGGCCCGGAGTAGCCACAGGCTGCAGCATTGTGTACAATGATTGAGGTTACGAATAGAGCATAGAGATTGTTAGCTTCCAGATTAGGACGATCCCGAGTTCGCAGGGTGAGCTGTAAACAAGCACATTTTTGAAGCCAAAACAAATAAAAAGAGAGTCAGTAATAAGGATAAAACACAGCTGACCGTGTGGCAGAGCCACCAGCGCTCCCTCCCTCAGCGCGTACTCGCGGTGCTGGGGGTGAACGGGCACATTTCCAGGGACGACTGGGGCACAGGTGGGACGTGCTGGGCTCCAGCGCCTTCTGGGTCACCAGCATGTTCACCTGTGAGGGTACCACTGACCTTCCGTGATTTCGACAGCATGACCGAGTGACATCCGTCCTTTCCAAAGCGGGGGCCAGAGGCCAAGCACATGGAATCAGGTCTTCTGGGTTGGGCAGAGAGGCCTGCTGTACATGGCCTGCTATCCACGTTTCTTTTTAACGTTCCATTTACAATCCACACTCCCTCAGGGAAGGAGAGGCCCTAATAGAGCCAACTTTCTGGTGCCGAAGTGAGGGGCAGCGCTCTGAGAGGACAGAGGGGAGACATTGTGTGTGTGCTCTCTCAGCCGTAAGCAGCAGGCTCTTCATCATCCTGGCAGGCAGTCTCCTGGGCTATGCCCAACCTGGATCAATGCGGGAACCTTTACTTAACAAGAAGGGAAGGACGGAGTGCAGACGAGCACCAGGCCCACAGGGTCGGCCTCTTTCTCATTAGTTCAGTTAACTTCATCCTGCTTTCTCTTAAGGAAGTTTATTTTTGCCAAAGCCTGGACCCCGTTACCCATAAATTATTCTCCAGGGCCTTAGCAAGTCAGAAAGAATTGCTTAAGGAAAGAAGATTTTTAATGCAGACTTTGTGGCTTTTCCAATCCCTGCTGCTTTTCCCACAAGCCAGGGAGAATTTTCTGTGCCTGAAGACTCAGAGGCTTTAGCTGATAACCTTCAGGGTCAAACGAAATGTCTTCTCAGGCCAGCTGATTTGCAGTCCCTCCTGTGAATGTAAGCTTGGAAATAACTTTCCCTGACCAGCCCCGGGGTCTTTTCTTGCCTCTAGAAGAAGGGATAGGAAGGAAGTCTCTCGATCCCCGCAGCACCGCAAGGGCAGGTGCTCACGGTCTCTCAGTGGACATGACATCACTGTCTGCGCCCCCTCGGTTGGCCAGGGCACAAAGAAGCCCCAGACCGGGAGGGAAGGACCGGCATGTTGTAGGAGGGAGAGAAGGGGTTTCGCAGGACAGCATTAGTACCTCCAGACCTCGAGAGTCCATCCGGGCACTTCATCAGGAAGCCTGTTTGCTTTCACTGCCTCCTTTTATTTACAAATAGGATTTTTGGTCTGAAAGCGCAGGGTCATTCTCAGGCGACAGCAGGAAAGCAACTGGGGTGTCATTGTTACACGTATTACAGACATGGGTAGCTCTGGAAGCTAGTCGGCAGGTTCCCGGGCGCCTGGCCCGCAGGGTCCCCCACGGTCCGCCAGGGTTGGAGCTTCAGAGTCTTGTTTTTGTAAGAATTGGCCCCACCAAGAAGCCTCAGCCCGGTGCCCGAGCGCCGTCTGTGCTCGAGGCGCACAAAGTGTAGCGTGGGCGTTCACATGTTACGTGGGTGTTCACGCCGCCACAGACGGGAACATTCCGTTCACCACTTGCCTCTCGTGTCCCCAGATCCCGGCCCATCTCAAACAGGAATAATGGTCATAAAAAGTACAAACAAAAGCCAGTCCTTATTTTAACATAAATCTTAGTTTATGGTAGCCTTCAATTATTTTTAATATAAATGAACAGAAGGAATCAGAAAGACGATGTAACACATGACATTTTCCCCAGGAGTCTTTATTGACCATGTTTTTTTTGTTTTTTAAGATTTTATTTATTTATTTGACAGAGAGAGACACAGGGAGAGAGGGAACACAAGCAGGGGGAGTGGGAGAGGGAGAAGCAGGCTTCCCGCGGAGCAGGGAGCCCGATGCGGGGCTCGATCCCAGGACCCTGGGACCATGACCTGGGCCGAAGGCAGACGCTTAACAACTGAGCCACCCAGGCACCCCTGACCATGTTTATTTTTCCATGAAACATGAATCGCCACGACGCAAAGTCCCACCTTGCTGAAGGCCGTCTGGTGCGTGTCAGCAGGTCGCGTCGCCGCCGGCCTTGTGAACGGGGCTCCTGGCTCGCTGGTGGGTTTGCCAGGAAGACGCCGCCGTGGGGCCTCGCCCCCCCAGCGGCCAGCGCACACACGAGACGGACCATCCCTGTGCACGGCCAGGGTTCTGGGCCTGGGCTGCCCGTCCTTCCACCGCACATCGCTCTAGCGTTTGCCCTAGAAAACAGCCGTATCCGTGCTTAGCAGTTTAAATGACAAAGGGAATCATCTCCTGGGCTCTACCAGCGTTAGCGGCTGCCGCCTTTGATTTCTGACAGACTGCAGCTGCGCTCACAAACCTGGTGCCAGGCCCGGCTCTGCCTGGGTCACCCGGAAACTAGCACCTCGGGCAGCTTTGTTTCCTTTAGAACAAAGACAGTCAGTGAGTGGTTTGCGAAAGGGGAGGCATCCTGAGCTGCATGCCCACGCCGGGAGGTCAGTGTCCAGGGCGCGCCCTCGCAGTGGACAGCATGCGCCAGGTGCTTCCACGGACCTCGTCTCATTCAGCTTTGAAAATGAGCCCAAGTCATAGGTCATCGCCTGCACCTCTCTGGCTGAGGACACAGAAGTCTCCAGAGGTTACGAGCTCTAAGCTGCACCGTCAGGAAATGACAGGACGAAAACCAGGCCTGCGCGGCCCCAATGCCCGCACCTTCCCGCCGACTGCCCTCCTGACCTCCTGACCTCAGGCAGCAGTGGGGCATGCTAGCCACGAGTCCAGTGGGAGAGGGATCGGGCCCCCCATGACCTCCCTGTTCCTAATCAGAAACTCAGCACCCCCAAACACCTGCGCCCGTCTGGAGGCAGAGGTGTGGACGTGGGTCTGGAGCAGGTACTGGCTGAGGGAAGATGGTATTCCAGGGGCCACGGCCAGCAGCCACTTCTCCTCCTGCACTTCCCGGCCCCTGGGCTGCCTGTCCTCTGGACCTGGTGCTGTCAAGACCCCTCCCCGCCTGTCCCTCCGGTTCGTGTTTGCCCCTCATGGGAGCCCTGGCTGCCCCATTTCCTCACCCCCATTCCATTCCACTCAGCTCCGCTCAGCGTCCTCCCCCTGACACCAACATGATCCACACCTGTACCCACAGGTTGTCTTCCCGGGTCCTGCTACCGACCTGCAGGAGCAGGTGACACCACCGGAGCCTTCCCTCCCTCACCGATCCCGCTACCCAGCTTCTCCTCCGCCAGGAGCACTGCCCTGTGATGCCTGGCCTGGCCTCACTGGCCTATCTGCCCATCCCTTCTCTGACCTCACTCCAAACCTTCTCTTCTGGAGTCTCCCTCCCCGACTCACCTTCTCTGTCGGCCATCAGGTTCCATGGGCACGTCCCCGGCCCTCTTGGGTCTCTTCCTCCCCATCGGTCAGGGTCATATCCACCCCGTTCTGCCCCCCATCCAGCCTCCGGCCAGTCCATCCCCCCAGCAACCACATTGGACAGCTCACTGCTGCTCCTCTCAGGAAACCCCCAGCCTAGGACCCATCTTCAGACACCCCAAGCTTTCCCCTCCCCTCTGCCTGCTGCCCAGGAACCCCACACACCGCCTCCCCGCTGGGATCTGGCTGCACCCCAGGTAGAGTGGGGGCTCACATGATTCACAGCCCTGCCCACCGTCACAGAGGATTGTTGCAGTGTGGCTGTCTGTCTGTCTCTGCAGCTGATTAATGGTGGGAGGGGTCTCCCCGCCGTCCCGTCGTGCCCCACAAACACACACTGGGTGGCTGGGGCAGCAGCAGACAGAAGAATCCCTTCAGGGGTCTCCGTGGTCTTGAGTGTAAAGACCATGAGGGAGAAGTCAATATAAGTGACCCCATCAGGAATTTTAGACTCTGACATAACAAAGAAAACAAGAGAAAAAGATGTGGCAAAGGTTGCTCTTTATAAAGAACTCTTTCATATCATTAAGGAAAGGCCAAAAATTTAAGCAGGAAAGTCAAGGCACGTGTGGCCAGTCTACTGGAGAAATAGCCACTTAACCCGTGACAGAAGATAATCAACCTCACTTGTAGTCAAGGAAATTCAGATCCAAAGGCTATTTTTACCCATCGTATTGGCGTGGGCTTCTGGTGCCCAGGAGCTCTTAATCTGATATCTAATAAAACCTCCGGGGTTCTGTTCTGTGTTGTCCTTTCTTACAAATTAAGAAATTAAGGTTCAGAGAAGTCAAGTAATTTGCCCAAGGTCACATAACCAGAGCATACACAGCAAGCCCTCGTCCTGTGCCCTGTGGTCAGCAAAGGCCTGGGGAGAGAGCGCCCACCCGCGTCGTTGGAAGTGCAAGCTAGTTCAACTAGGGGATAATTTGGTAATAAAAGTATATAGCTCTGACCCTTGGGTTTGTCCTAGGGAAAAACCATGTAAATGTGCAGAAATATGCCTGTTAGGACATTTATCACAGCACTATTTATAATAGCAAAAACTGGATAAGAATTGAAAAAGCGAGCCGTGGGGAGGTGTGCATTGGGGGGTGATGCAGAATCAAAGCCACGGTGTTTTATTTAGTTTTAAAAAGAGATGAGAAATGCAATGATAGATAACAATAATATAGTTTAAATGCAGTTAAAAAGTATTTGTTCTAATACTTTCAGCAGGGCACGTATTTTAGCTGTTAATGAAAAATTGGAACTGCACAGGAAGGAGCACCTGCCGCAGGTGAATGAAGGCGCGAAGCCAGGGGCAGGTGTGAGCTTGCCCGGCCAGCCCCATGGCATGATGCGTGGCCCTGCAGTGACACCGTCCTGTTCTTCTTCCTCAGGTGCTGCTGAGCCAGGTGCACCGGCTGAGAGCCCTGGACTTGCTCGGACGATTCCTGGACCTGGGCCCCTGGGCGGTGAGCCTGGTACGTGCGTCCTGCACAGAAGTGGGGTGGGGCACGTGGCAAGACTCCCAGATGTAGGCTGAGGACGTGCCTCACAACCCGGAAGGGACCGTCACCGGCCATCGAGGGGGACTGTGTGTGGGGCGGGCCGGGCAGCCCCCGGGGTCCTCAAGAAACACATGCCATGTGGCCTCCGTCCCTGCAGCGTTCCGGGGTTTGCTCTTACTCTACCCTCTTTTCCCATCCGCCATGAGGCTTCACCTCTGCAGGCAGAAAGTGTTGCCCCTGCCTGAGCCAAGAAGCAGGGTCCCCCTGAGCTGGCCGAATGCCAGGCACACACCCATGCACCGACTTTACACTCTGGTGCTCAGCACAGGCTGGAAACTTCTCTGCTGACTCATTCTGCAAAAGAGTGGAAACGGCCGTTTAAAACGGAAAACACTGACAGAAATAAGATCAAACAGTGACCTATTTCCAACAACATCATCACAAGAAAAGAGGTATCGATAGGGAACCGACAGATGACAGGAGGTTCGAGAGACTTGCCATCAGCTGCAATATATGGATCTTTTTGGTCATATGTGCAAATAAACATTTGAAAGTTAAAGTTTGAAAAATTAACATTCACGAAACAATTAGAAATTTTACATGAACTGAATACTTTGTTATTAAAAGGTAACTGTTCATTTTTTTAGGTGTAATGGCATGAGGTGGTTCTTTTATAAAAGACCTTATTTTTTAGAGGTAAAGACTGTATTTACACATGAAACGTGTGTGACATGCAGATAGTCCAGGAGGACACATGGGCGGGCACGCCAGCACCCTGCCGTCGGGTTCATGTCACTGAAGCTGAGTGACGAGCATGTGGGAGGGCAGCGTATTATTATAGCTCCATTTGTGTATATTTAAGTTTTTTCATTGTATAATGTCAACTAGAGAGTGAGAATCGATAGTCCACGGTTGAAGGAGAAAAGGAAAAGTCAAAGAATTAGGAAGAATAGTTCACCCACCATTGGACGGTTCACACTCAGGGCACCTGGGCCGCAAATTACTTAGAGTGTCTCGATCACCGGGGAGGGTCTCGTGTGACTCTCGAGCTGCGTGGCCTGCTCATCTGCTTGTGCGAATCAATGTTGCTCAGTCACCGGGGAAGAACTCGCAGTGTATCCTTTATGCTCGAGAAACACGCGCCGTGCAGCCTCCGTCCCTGCAGCGTTCCGGGGTTTGCTCTCTACCCCCTTTTCCCATCCGCCATGGGAAACTTGAAGACAGGGAAACTTATATTAATAACACTTACGGGAGATTTTTATTATGTGGTACATTTTTTAAAAATGGATATTGGCCCTTTAAAGAGTTAAGCTGATGCTAATTGGAAATTTTGACAGTGTAACAGGTACTTGACAGATGAGGTGTTGCAACAGGTATGGGTTGGGCCTTCCAGGAGGACTCATCTGCCCAAACCAGAGACAGGATGCTTGTCCCTCATTAAACATGGCCTTTAACAAGAAAAGGACACAGGCCCCGCCAGTGGCCTCTGGCCTGGGTCACACCGCTCCACCCGTCTGGGAGGGGGACACCTTTGCCATATCTCTGAAATGCCAGCAAATCGGAGATAAGGGCAGAGCATCTGTGCTGAGATGACCGACATAACGGGGCTCTGCCCGGTTGTCCTTGTGAGATGGCCACTTTCTCTCTGACTGCCCTGCCTGAGAGCAGAGAGCCCCCCCAGGATGGTGCACCACCAAAATCTGGGCAGCAGGGACACCCACGGCTGCTCCCCGTCTTAACCAGCAAACTGGCCCATCCCAAGGCTCAAGTTCTTCTCTGAAGGTCGATCTCAGGGGCAGATGTGAAGGTTGGAGCCAAGAGGGCAGGAGGGTTGTGGTTTGAAATGTGAGACTCACAGTTAAGGGGCCCTCTGCTTTGCTGCTCAGAGCAAACAAGGCCGTGCGAGGGTGAGGCCACAGGGGGCGGGGTCCCCAGACGGGAAGCCACGGGTTCTTCACGAGATGAACTGTGGCCTCTAGACCAGGCAGGGCTGGAAAAATACTGCAGTGTCTCGGAGAACAGAGATGAGGAGATCCAGAAGAGCCCCCTTTGCTCACATTCCCACACGCGCTGAAGGTAGCGCCACACTGTGTCCCGAGCCTGTGCCCCTCGCCCCCGGAAGCTGGCGCGCTCACACTCTTTTCTCTCCCCCAGGCCTTGTCTGTGGGCATCTTCCCCTACGTGCTGAAACTGCTCCAGAGCTCCGCCAGAGAGCTGCGGCCCCTTCTGGTGTTCATCTGGGCCAAGATCCTTGCCGTGGACAGCGTGAGTAGTCCGCGTCCTCCCCACTGGTGCCCGGTGGTCTCTGCGTGTTAGCCGGCCTGGCCCGGGCAGCGGGTGCAGAGAGCGGGGGCTCGCGGAGGTGCCGAGCACGGCTGTGTCCTCTCTCTGCCCGCGAAGACCCCACATTTCTTGTCCTACCTTCACCCAAGCCTCTGCCTTCGGTGCCCTTGCCTTCCCCCACCCCTTCTCCAGGCACTGCTGATCCCCCCCTCCTTCCAGAACACGGGAGGTGCATCCCTCTGGGGCCCAGTCCTGGTCACCTGAGCTGCACGCTGCCTCCCACCCCACCCCACCCATGTCCCCTCCAGTCCTCCAGCAGGAAATGACCCCGGCCACTTCCTTCTTGAAACTCGGCCCTGCCTCGCCTGGACACCCACCGGGCCCTCTGTCTCCAGCCTGTGTTTTTCCCTCCCCTGCCCTGAGCTCGGGGACAGTCTCCTGCAGCTCTGCTGTCAGTAGCCACCCCCTCCCCGTCCTCATGCCTGCGGGGCGGCAGTCACGCCTCTACTCCATCAGGGGCTGGACAGGACCATGCTGAAGGCTGTAGGGGATGCAGAAGGCAGTGGTCTCTGCCCTGGACAGGTCACTTCCAGTGGGGCAAAGCCCCTGCTGTAAGCGGAAAGTCGCCACGCCGCGGGGGGCTGTGCCGTGAGTGTGGGGGACCCGAGCATTCTTAGCACGGGGGGCATTGATGGGTGTAGACGTGGGAGGGGACAGCTTTTGAGAGGGATAGAGGGACAGGGAGGGCAGATGGCCCCACTGGGCTGAGGTGCTGGAGGCACATGCAAGGAGCCCTCAAAGTGGAGGGCGTCCCACTTCCTTTAGCCCACCGAGAGGAGCCATTAAAGATTTGGGAACAGAGACACAGCAAGATCCAAGCTGTGGTTTTTAAGTGTCTGGCCTCAGTCTAGAGGAGATTGTAGGTCAGCTGAGGAGGGGCCCGCTGGGCAGGAGGGGTGGATGTGATGGGGTGACTGTTCGGGACGTCCCAGGTGAGGAGGACCCGTGCCTTAGGCCTGGAGGCGGGGAACTCTGGTGCCCAGTGACCTTGCCGGTGAGCCCCCTGGGGGGAATGGAGAACAAAGAGCCACAAAAGGAGAGTGAAGGAGGGTTCCCAACGCTGGAGGTCTGACTCAGAACACAAAGGGGGTTCTAGAGTGAGGGTGTGTGCTGGGTGGGAAACAGAGACCCCAGAAGAGGCCATCACACAGGGCAGTCAGCTTCAGAAAAACCGTGGATGCGGAGATGGGGAGGAAGTGCCAATGGCCAGATGGTCGCTTGCTTAAGGGGTTAAGGAGGTGGGGGGGAGTGGGCGCCTACCCTGTCACCCCTCCTGCCGGTCACCACAGCCTCACCTGGCCGGCCCCCTCCCCAGCCACACCCCATTGGGTGACTGGGTCTGGGCGCGGCCAGGCTGGCCTTCTTGAGCGCTCACCCTCGGTCCTGCATGCTGCTCTCTGCTCACTACACCCTCTGCTGTCCCGCGAATGAGCCCCTGCAGCTCCAGGCTGCCGCGGGACCGGGTCCTCCCTCGCCTGGGTGCTGCAGCCACCCACACAGCCTCCAGGCAGCCAAGCTTTGCCATGAGGCCCAAACCTGGGGTGATGGCTGCACGAGGATGCGAGGGTTGCAGGTGTTCCCAGTGCACGTCTCACAGCACAGGAGCTTCCAGGTGGCCGCGGACCCCAGTCACACTGAACTCAGTTATTACTGTTCTTACGTATTGATCTCGAGCGGCAGCCTTGTTGAATCTTGTAGTTCTGGCCGTGGACGGTAGGTTCTCTTGGCCTTTCTGCACAGGCAGTCACGCAAACCAGGCCAGTGAGGTGGCTCTGTCCCCATGTGTCGGGGACATTTCCTGGTCTAGTGGTACCGACCAGAACTCACGCACGCTGTTGATCAGACGCGGTGATCCGCTCATCTTGGATGTGCTTGGTCTCCGTGGTCTTCTCGGTGCTGTGAACGCTCTCCCTCCCTGTCAGTGCCTCCCAGGCTAACCTTGACCTCCATTCAGCCCTGACCCTTCTTGGGCCCAGCGCCCCGCACACGGCTGTGTCCACAGAATGTTCTGTTGCTTGTCAGCTTCACAGTGATGTTCAGAACATTGTATGTTCTGACAAAATGTTTACCTTTCCGTGCATTGAACTAACTTCAGATAAATGACCTCTCTGAAAGATTGACCAAAACCCTAGATTTCAGACTTAAGAACTTGAGTCTGAGCCCCGCTGCCCTTGTTTACTTGGGCGAACTTTCACTTCCCGACACCAGCCCTCTGTAAATCATTGCCGTCATGTTTCCAGCAGCCGGGATGGAGATGAGAGCCGTGACCTGGAAAGCTGTCCTGGAAATCTTAGAATAAAAGTAATAAAAGCATAAGTCTCACATCTGCCCGGCTGGTGTCAGACACGGAAACCTTTTCTTGCTGATCCGAAAGCTTGTTGTTGTGGGTGAGGAGGCTGTGCCTTTTGGTCATTTCTGTTTTGCCCGTCACGTTTCGCTGAAGAGCCAAGCGATGTGAACAGAAGGGCTCTCCCGGGGGGTTACTCGGAAACTTTCTCTCCTTCAATGCTGTGTCTTCTGTACGGAACGCTTGGAAATGGATCAATGCCATTACTTGGTTCCTGGGTGCACGGAGGGCCCAGCTCAGACCAAAGCCCATCGAAGGGAATGCCCCCCCCCCGAGCCCGCCTCCCCGCCCGTGGGCCACCAGCGCTGCCGGAGCGTGGGTAAGCCACCACGTTCTTGTCCGTACAGGATCTTTAGGACCTGTCAGTTCCCGGAACCAGACTATGTTTAGTTCTAGTCTTAGGAGTATCTGATCCTGCTTCAGTGTTCTGTACGTGAAAAGCCCTTCTGAGCTGCACCTCGCTGCCGTGTTCTCGTGGGACCTACAGCGGTCATCGTACTTGGGTATGAGGAATCCGCTAGGAACCGCCTCCCGGGCCCATCTGCCTCCAGGGGCCTGCTTGTCTCCAGTGCCCGGATGCCAGCAAACCTGCTGCTGCTCCCTCGTTACCTGACTGAACGAACCTCTCAGGGCCACGCGCTTCCTGTTTGCACAGCGCTGAAGGAATTACACGTTTGAGAATGCTTGAGGAGCTGTTCCTGCAGCCAGCTGGAAATGCCCTCGCCTGCAATGTTCTTTTCCATGCCTGCAGGCGCCAGGGACCTTCCAGTGAACTCATTTCATAGCCAGTTTGTTGCACCTATTTATTTAAAGGCAATCATCCCACGGAGAGACGTTTTGACATATTTCCTATTGAGACTGAGGGCCATTTACCTCCTCCTTCCTTTTCATGATCACTCAGGTAGTTTTCCAGAGACTAAAGTCCCGTATGCTTTTGGGGAGCTGTTCCCCTCCCTCCTTCACATCCGGTCGGAAGTCCTGCTTGGTCACTGCCAGGCTCCGTGGGCTCTCGTGCTGTGTGCAGAGCCCCCTGAGTCGCTGGTGCCACCCTCACGGGGGTCAGAGCACATGGTGTTTGCGCACAGGGAGCCCATGCTTAGGATCAAAGCCTGCATGGAGCAGACTGAGGTCTGCAGTGCCCCATGTCCTGTGCCCACGCTGGGCCCCACCTCGCCGTCAGGGCACTTCCCCAGGGGTTGAGCATGGGGTGGCCCTCTCAGGTTGGACCCCAGCTGGGGGCGAGTCTGGGGCCCCCTCTTGAGCCACAGGCATGTGTTGAGTACACACTATGTGCCATCCTGAGAGGGGCCCCTGAAGGACTCGGGGAGAGGCAAGACTCACTCTGGCCTTAAAGAAGGCAGGCTGTGTCTGGGAAGAAGGAAGAAGGGTGATTTCAGGAAGGGGAACAGGGTCAGATGGGTCTATTCCATTTGACCGAGGGTGGCGCACATTGTGGGGACAGTGGTGGGACAGAAGGCACGAATTGGGACAAGGAGGGCCCTTCCTGTTGTTCCCCAAGGAATCTGGTCCCAGAAGGGTCTCTTCCCAGATCACGCATGCGCCATGTTACCCTTCACCCGCCGCTACCAACCAGGCGTGTGAAGGAGCAGGAAGACGTGACCCACAACAACGAGAAAAAACCCACCAGAACCCACTCTGAGCCCTCACGGATATTAGAATTAGCCGACAGGGACATGGAAATGGTTGCTGGAAGTCTGCTCCACATAAAATTTCCACTGAGACATGGAAGGCAACAAGGAGCCCGCTGAACCTTCTGCAGAGGGAAGCCACAGCGTAACCTGGAAAACATGCTGGACGGGATCGACGACCCACTAAACATCGCAGAAGAAAGCAATCACAGCTGCCCAAACGCAGCATAGCGAGGACAGAGGATTCTTACCAGACTAAGGGGCATCATTGAGTCGTGGAACCACTGCAAGTGACGTGACCGAAGTGCGTTCACAGCCCCTCCAGGGGCCAGCGGGAAAAAATACTTGAAGAAATGGTGGCTAAGAAATGTCCAAATTTTCCAGTTTGATGAAAACAATATACCCACAGACCCAGGAAGCTCCGTGAACCCCACGCACGAGGAACATGAAGAAAACCACCCCAAGTCATATTCTAATTGCTTAAAAGCAGGATAAATTTATGAACTCAGAAGCAGCTGATAAAGGAGAACAGAGGAGTGAGGAGAAGGAAGACAGCAGGTTACTGGTCGGGAACGACACCAGGAGGGGATGGCGGCTGGCGCCCTAACGTCCCTGAAGAGAAGCCGCCGGCCTGGCCTGCTGTGCCCGGTGAGAGCATCTCTAAGTGGAGGCAGAGTAAGGACGTTAAGGCACGCGACACCGAAGGGACGCACCAGCGGTAATCGCTGGTGGGGTCAGCAACGTGTGGGGTGTCGGCTCCTGAGACTTCATGTGAAGGGGAGGGCGTGAGGAGGAGGGGGTCTGCGCACCACCCGGAGTTAGAGGAGTTGGAATTGTACGGCGTGTTCTGCAGCCACAGTGGAGTGAAACAATCAGATGGGTAACAGGAAAACCTCCAAACACTTGGAGACTAAGCAGCACACTTC